TCCATTTCTAATTTATAAATACATTTGGGGTTATAAATTATAAATGTACTACCTCCTGTCAACATTGTATACTTCTATTTGATGATTTCTGTGTCAAATATTATATGGAAATGTTTCCAAGTATTTTCTGTATTAACTGTGAATGAATAGAACAAAATAAATTGCCTGTGATGGAAAAATAAAATAAAATAAAAAAAAAAAGAAATGTCAGATATATGCTATTCAAACTAATAAAATCCTTGGTTCCTTCCTCTACTTGACTTCCAGCTGCTGCTTGGAGTTTCCTCTGTCTTTCAATTCCAGGCAGCCTATTTCTGTAAACTTGGTAAACTATGGTAGCCTTAATTACCATAATAATGCCAAATATCTTTGTTTTCTCCATGACCAAACAAATCCAGCCTTCATGGATGACCCTCCTGGGATGGGTATCCAAATTGGAGGTGTAAGTACCACTATTATTATAAGCCAGCATGGGGCAAATGGCCTCAACAACTCTGTTGTGGGCTGGCACAATGTATGGTCACCTTCACCATCTGAGATCCTTGGGATAAAAATGGGCCTAGGGGGTTGTGAGACAGATCTACATCTATATGGTAGGGTTTAGACCCTCTCAAAGAGGAATGGTAATATTTAGATCCCTTGAGGAAGCACCAGCCACCCCTATAGACAGTATAGTTGAGGTTATTAGACAATTTGAATCCACACTGCAGTGCAAGTTGTGTGAGATCTCCTTTTAGACTATTCTAAATGAGTCCCCAAGTCTTCTCTGTACCTATGGAAGTAACAATGGGTCACTTTGTGTAACTTCTTGCTTCCTTTGCATTCCTCTACAATATTGCCTCATGATGGCTATCATTCTTATACATGTAACTCTAAACTCCATGCTCTGCAACCCTAAACCCATTTCTTCTTCCTCATTACCACCAACACCTCTTTACTCTTTTGAGACACCAGGTTACCGACGCTTCAACAGCCATTCCAATTCTTGCCGTACAAACATCTCAATTTTGGGAACCATACTTGCCCTAGAGATAAGGTCTTGCTCTGTAACTTGGCTGGCCTGGAACTCACTATGTGGACCAGGCTGGCCTAGAACTCATAGAAATTCATCTGCCTCTGTCTCCCAAGTACTGGGATTAAAGGTGTGTACTACTATGCCTGGCAAATATGACATCTCATCATGCTATTTTTTCCTGCTTATTTTGACCTTTAATGTTTCTATCTGCTTGCTTTTGAGTTTATCCTTTTATATTTTTCTTATGCCATTTAGGGAGTCTTATAACCTTTCCTATAATTGACTGGTTATTCTAGAAAATACAATATGCATTAAATTATCAACATTTAATATTAATCAATACTTTTACCTCCAAATAATACTAGAATTTTATAATTCCTTATTCTATTTCCCTCTACTATGATATTTATGCTGCTGTTGTCATATGTTTTAAATAAACTATCAATCCATCATTATAAGTTGGATATCTCAAGTGGTCGTTATAGTAATGGAAAGCTGACATACCACAGCATGGTTAATTCTTGATTTAAAATATATTACAAACTACTACAGATAATATAAATTTATGGCATAGTAAGTGTAAGTAAATTGATTGCAACTCTGTGGGTTTGGTCCCAGGTTTCAGTACCAACAATGTAAGTAAACTGGTTGCAACAACTCTGGGGAAAAATGTCCCGACTACCTGGGGAGTCAGGCAACACCTTGAGCTGCTTAGGACAGCTCTGATGGTTGAAACTGCAAGGAGACAGTTTAGCCCTAGAGGGCAAGGTGTCCCAGACACCTTGAGCTGCTCAGAACGCTCTTCCCTGAAGGTGTCCTGGACACCTGGAGCTATTTAGCCCAGCTCTGATGGCTGGAACTGCAAAGCAGCAGCCCAACCCTGGAAGGGAAATTTTTCTGACTTCTCGGGGGAGTCAGGCCTGGAACTGCTTCAGCAGGTAAGGGTATCCTGACTCTTTGGGAAAGTCAAGGCATACCTGGTGTGATGGGGGATGTTTTCTCTGCAGGATATAGCAATCCTGCTCCTCTCCTGGAGAGCCTTTACAGCTGAGCTTTGCTCAGCCCCCACTTAAAGGGACTTCTTAGCAGAGCTCTGCTTCTCCAGCCTAAGAGTGCTGTGGATATCGTTCTATATAAATAAAACACTGATGGCCAGTGACCAGACAGGAAGTACAGGCGGGACAAGGAGAGAGAATTGGGGAAACAGGAAGAAGGAGGGAGAGACACTGCAGCCACCGCCAGGACAAGCAGCATGTAAAGACGCTGGTAAGCCACCAGCCACATGACAAGGTATAGATTTATAGAAATGGGTTAATTTAAGATATAAAAACAGTTAGCAAGAAGCCTGCCATGGCCATATAGTTTATAAGTGATATAAGCGTCTGAATGATTATTTTATACATGGATTGTGGGACTGCGGGGCTTGATGGAACCTGGAGAGAAGCCCTCCAGCAACAAATGGTGCCCAACGTGGGGCACAAACCCATGACCCTGAGGTTAAGAGTCTCATGCTCTACCGACTGAGCTAGCCGTTGCTTCTTTTGCTTTACTCTACAAAAGGGGAAACCCCTGAAGAAATGTAGCAATCTCCTCTGGCTCAGGAGAAAGGTGTTACTTTTCAGCTCTCTCTTGCTGTGTGTGTCCACTGAGAAGATCTCAGCAAAGATCTTCTGTTCAGCTGCTCCTTGCTCTGCTCTTTCAGCTCTCCCTTGTTTTGTTCACTGAGGGATGTCTCAGCAAGGATCTTCTCTACACCAGTGAATGATCTTCACACCCAAAACTCTTTTGAGAAAGAGATTTATTTGGGATGGAGGAGTCTAGGAGAGTAGCTGCCTCTACCAGGGTGGAGAGAACAACCTTTTTTTCTAACTGACCAGGCAGGGTGGTTTACACATGATGTCTTGGGGGTGGAGTCAACCAGGGGTTGACTTGGGGCCCAGGGTTCTACTGTCCTGCTCTGTGATTGGTTGGTTTCACAAGTCAGTTGGCCAGGGGCAGAGATGGCTCTGATCTGACTGAACCAAACTGTGTTTCTTTCTGCCCTGATCTGAGCCATCTTTCCCTAGTTCTGGGCTCCAGGGTCAGGGTGGGTTTCTTTAGCCAGCCCCTTTCCCCTACAGTAAGACCTTGTGTTATGCTTGTAATTGGTATGCTTTGATGAATTATCTAGAAAATCCAGATCAAGCTTGAAGAATATATGGACCACTAGAGTTAATAAGGTTTAGGAGTCTAGCCTTGCTAGTGAGCATAAGAGCATCATTAAGCATTTGTCAATAAACAAAAACAAAAATAAAAACAAAACCCAAACCACAACTCTGTCTTTAGCTTTGATTCTTGCCATCATTCTGTATGAGTAGCATGATGATCTGTACTTTTTTTTCCTTTGGAATTTTACTTCCTTACTTGGAGTCGCTGTATTCTCTCAGAATATCATTTACAGTGTTCTGTTAATGTACGTACTTAGTAAAATTTGTCCTGAGAGGGTGGTCATAAATCAGTCTGGTTCTATCTCTAAATGTCAAGAACTAAGACAGGTATTATGTCTTTCATTAGGCCAGGTCTCACTCTGTAACCCAAACTGGCCTTGAACTGAGTGACAGGATTATAGGCTCGAGTCACTATATCCACTGTGCCTTTCTTATGATAACATACCTTTATTTTGCCATTGTGTAAAATGTGAGTCCAGTGATGGCCATCTTGACTGCTGGAGATAAGGAACTCTTTCACAAACATGCTGGTAAAGAGAGATTTCACTCCCTGTGTTATTATTGCAGTGACTTTCATTGTCTTTTGTAAGTCCACTTGCAACCATTCTTTTGGATCATTCACCTGAGGAAAAGATATTGGAATAATATCTCCTTTGTCACTATTTGCTTCCAGAAACCCACAACTCTCTTTTTAACCATATTACAGTACTTATGACCCTACATAATGGTTTGTCTGCCTCCTTTATTTGACTAAGAATCCTGAGGTCCAAATTTTTCATAATTCTTTTCTTTTTTAATCTTCTCGGGTCACCCACTTAATAGGGGCCTAATAAGTGCTGAATGAATCTAGGAACCATATCTACTAGAATACAATGTCTGGCAATGTAGTAGCCAAACTATTTAATTCAAAATAGTAATACTCTGGACTTTAAATTTGTTATATTTATTTGTTCTGGTGTGTGTGTGTGTGTGTGTGTGTGTGTGTGTGTGTGTGCACTCATGGGCCATAGAGCCTGCGTGGAGGTCTGAAGACAACTTGAAGGAGTTGGTTTCTCTCCTTCCTCTATGTCGATTCCAAGTACTGAACTCAGGTCATCAGGTTTGGTGGCAAGCACCTTTACCTGCTGAGCCATCTCACCAGCTCTGGATTGAACTTTAGTTACCATGATGATTTCACAGATATTAACCTAGTACCAGATACAGAGATTCTTATTCCAGGTAGTTCATTAATGATCATTTCTTTCTTCAGTGAATGCAAAACCACATGGTATATCATCTAAATGCCTGTGGAGCATTGTTAACCTCCCTAAACATTCTTAGGAACAGTGAACAGAAACACCTATGAAAAACAAGGGCTTCGCCTATTTTCCCAGGCTCTGTTGTCTACTTTTATTAGTTAAGTGGTAAATACGTTGCTCTTACCTGAGGTCGCCAGGCATTAGTCCTTCCCTGGAGGTGAAGTCGTGCTTGTGAAGGAGACCAACTGGCAAACATATTGGTGAAGTAGGATGAGGCAGTAATTTGTGTATCTGATATTACTTTATTCTCCATTCCCAATGGTATGCTACAACCTCAAAGAAACAAAATTGCAGTGTTGCCACATGGGTAGGCTGCAGCGTAGGTTTCACTGGGCTGCCTTCAATCCTTTAGGATACTGTCATCATAATTTTCAGGCATCAACTTCTACACAATTTCTGTTATTGCTAAAATGCTCAGATTTTCTGGTCAGTTCTGCTTAGCTATGCTTGATTTTTAATTTCCTTGTTGATAAAAGTATAGGAGATGACTGCTTCTGGAGAACCCTATGGTTAGTATAACTACAGTAACATACTCCTATTTTTTGTTGTTGTTTCAGGACTGTGCTGTGGTTTTGTTTGTTTGTTTTGTTTTGTTTTTTATCACTGACAGTTCTTTATTCTGTGGTAGAAATCCCTCCTCACACTCAGGATAACTAAAACAGTTATTCTATTTATGGTTGAGAAAGAAAAAGAAAATAATATGGGATGACTTGGCACTTACTGTTTAAATCACAGCCAATCAACTCCATTCGAAGAGTACTGCGGATGCTAGAATGAGTGGGGTGCAAACGGATATACCGAGCAATAATTGGAGGATTAAAACTATTGTGCTTAATCCCAGATGAATCCACATTGCCAAAGAAGACCTATTAGAAGAGATTATCAATATGTGGAAAGTAAATACAAAGCATAAAGAAAGTTGTTCTATTACATTTTCTTTATAAATTTGCCTTTGGCATTTTTTTTTCAATATGCTGACTAGACAGATGGTATACCTGAAGATTTTTTTAAAATGCCCCAAGAAGAAGAGTGGAACAAGGTAGTTTAGTGTGGTCTTGGTCAAATGAAATGTTTTTCTACCTTAGGTACCTCACAAAAATTGAGGAGGTCATTAGTACTTTGTAACTCCAGCATAGAGCCATCAGAAAGGCAGTGTTTGAATAATTACACTAGTAAGCTAGTGAAATAAGGGATTCCTAACTCTCATTTCACGGGAACAATAATTTGGCAGACATTATAGACATCTTGGGATGCATATGGGAGTCTGAGAAACACTACAGAAGCACCAAACCAAGTATAGATGTTTGATATCAGCCTGCTGCCTGTAACCCTGGCTATACATTCAGAAGAAGACTACCTTTTGTGGACTCAGATCCAACCCCATTCATGTGTAGTCTTAACACTAGCTCTATCCACCCAAGTACCTTGGAAGGGCCATTTTTTTTTTATCAGTACCTCTAGTAATAGGTAGCTATGGTTTAGATGAGTTTTTTCTTAATGTTTTGTGTGTTGGAGGACTGATACTGAGCGTGGTGGTATTGAAGTGTTATGATAAAGAGGATAAGAAGCTGGCCTGCTTAGTCTTAAATTATTCAATTTGATAAAGCAACAGTCTTGGCCTAAGCTACTCACTTTTGAGTGTAAGAACCAAGAGATAATGACTCTATATCTTGTTTACACAAGTGACAACCACTATTTGACAGAACATTGGGAGGCATAAAGTGACAAATAATTTATTTACACCAGTAAATAATATCCCCAAATGTATTGAATAATATCAGAAACACCATATCAGACCCTATCTAAAAAAAGAAAAGAAATTATGAAAATTTCACAGATAAATGGATGGAGTTGGAAGCAATCATTTTGAGTTGGATAACCTAGATAAAGCATGACAACCATCATATTTTTAAATTTGTGTATTTTAGCTTCAAATCAGATATGTGTGTTCTATATGGAATACCCATGGAGGTCAGGAAATTAGTAAGGGGCTATAGAGGGGCTTTCAAGAGAGGGGAAGTAAAACTCACTAGTATATAGGGTTAAAGGGGAATAATGGAACAGGAAGGGTTAAATTGGGTGGGAATGGGTAAGGCAGATTAGGAGGAGGGAATATGAAGAAGTATAAATAACACTAAAGACATCTTGAATAAGTCATATGAAAACTTGCTACTGTAAAAGGTACTAAAATATACTTATATGGAGAGAGTTAAAACAGAGTTACCTTATAAAGAGACAGCAATATTCCCACTAGGCAGCAGAGGCTAACAAATCAAAAGCCCTCTGACAGGAATGGGTTACATCTTTTGGATTTGTTGGCCAGTGAGTTTACATAGGCTCCCAAACATTACAGGCTTTTTTCCAATGCTGTAAGTTACCCTGCAGAACTTTATGGTAAGGCCCTACTGCTGAAGACACCACACACTTCAGTCATAGAACATAGAAAAACAAAGCTGTCACTGACATAAAAGATTTATCCATATTGGCTAGTTTTTATAGTGATGGAATGTTCTATACACACTTCCAGGGCAGAAAGGTAATCAACAACCTCACCCAGTTATGAACCCTGTGAACTACTATAATGACTGGTTTGGTATGATTTTTTTCACTGGTTTAATAGTGGCATAAATCTTATGAAAGTAATCAACCACTTTCTGCTTTGATCTAAGGCCTGTTCCAGGTGATAAAACCCATGCCTAGTAACATTGTCAGGACAAGAACCTGTTACTAGTGAGGTCATAGGCCCTAGAAGAGAATCCAAATGAATAGTATACTAAATGAAAAGTATTAAACCAACTCCTCATTACTTATTACTATATCCATAGATATAGTAATTTGTCAACCCTCATCAGAGAAGCCTCTCTTTAAAGTAGATGGCGATTAACACAAAGACCCACAACTGGCCAAGGTACAGAGAATAAGAGACTGAAAAATGCTCAGCCCTAAATGGAATATACATACATACATACGTACTATCTATATCTATATCTATATCTATCTATCTATCTATCTATCTATCTATCTATCTATCTATCTATTTATCTATCATTTATCTATTGTGCCCCTCCTCCCAAGCTCAGGGTGGAAGAAGAGGTAGGACAAGTATAAAAGCCGTAGGTGGTGGATGACTGCAAAGAAACAGTATCTTCTGGACACAGCAGGATCAGTTACACATATGAACTCTCAGTGGTTGTGTTAATCTGCACAAGACCTACACAAGCTCAAGTCAGACCAAATTTCATCATGGAGAGGGGAGGTGGGCATGAAGTCTCACTCATAGCCAGGGGACTATTTGTAATTGATAGCTGCTGGGAAATAATAACCTAATTTTTTTAAAAGTGTAGCTTAATCCAAAAGACTACCCAAACAACCTATTGCTATTGCCCTCGGTTGTCCCCAGAAGTGGAAGGTAAGTTGCTATTGCTGAATACAACATGCACATTCAGAAACAGGGCCCAGAGACCCCTAAACTGGAACTGACCTGAATGTGTCCTCCATGAGGACTAGCTTTCATGGTACCAGAAGGCACCATGCAAGCTTCCAAAGAAGGGAGGCAACCAAAAGTGCTACCCAGCTATTATGCCTATGAACTATTTCAGTGACCAAAATGACACAATAACTCTAAGGGTGCAATAGTGGTATGTATACCTTAATGGTAATTAACAGCTCTCTAATTGGATTTAAGACCTTCTCAGCAAGAGGGATACCATATCCATACTGGAAACTAGCTAACTACTCAGTGCTAGTGAAGTATGGTTATTGGAGCAAGAGAATCTATAACCACTACTTATTAAACCAGCATAATACCTAACAACAATCTATAAACATTTTTTCTTATACCCACAGATAAGTGTAGTCTTCACCCCTCATCAAGGAAATTTCTCTATGTAACAGAGAAAACCACAATCAATCAAAATGATATATTGTGTACCCTGATAACCTTGCCTGAGGATCAGAGGACAGAGCCAGCAACCAGATTAGACATAGAGGTTAGGCCGTGATGACACACACCCTTAATCCTATCACTAGGAAGGCAGAGATACATCTGGATCTCTGTGAGTTCAAGGCCACACTGGAAACAGAGCCAGGCAGCAGTGGCACACACCTTTAATCCCAGTACTTGGAAGCACACAGGCCTTTAATCCCAGGAAATGATGTCTAGGCAGAGAAAGATATATAAGGTGTGAGGAAACAGGAACTCACTCTCTTTAAACTGAGGATTTCATAGAGGTAAGAACTAGTTGCTGGCTGCTCTGCTTCTGTGATCGTTCAGCTTTCACCCTGATATCTGGCTCTGGGTTTGAACAACAAATGAAGGCAGTTTTAAGAGGCAAATTCATAGCACTAAGTACCTCCATCAAAAAAAATGGAGTGATTTAATATTAGTAACTTAACAACACACCTGAATGCTCTAGAAAAGCAAGAAGAAATAATAAAAAGAGTAGACAGGAAGAAATAACCAAATTTAGGGCTGAAATCAATGAAATAGAAACAGCATCAGGCTCAGTGCCCTGTGGCCTGGGTGGGCAGAAGCCAGTAGGGTGCGGCACTACTACAATGAACAGGTATGAAGCAGAGAAATGGTAGAGAAGTAGAATGATTCATGCACTGTGGAGAGAAGTGGAAATAAAGATACAATGGCAGTGAGAAACAGGCTGATATGGGTGGTTTACCTTGCAAAAAGGGGCTATGTGATGTCCCAGTATGTTCTGCCACTGAAGGCCATGTCTGGGTCTGTGGATCTACTGCAGCTGGGGTCTGTTAATGTCCGTGGCCAGTGATGATGGATGCCCGTGGTCTGGGCTGTCACCTCAGGCCATGTTGGTGTCAGAGGGCCCTGCTGCCTCCAGGGACATACTGATTTGAGTGGCCTGCGCTGCCATTCAGGGCCATGGTAATGTCTTGACCCAAACTGCAGCAGAGGGCCATGTCTGGGTCCTTGTCCCTATCACAGCAGCTGGGGTCTGTGTTGATGTTTGTGGCCTGTGTTACCACTGGGGGCCATGGGAGAGCTGCCCCATTGGCCTGGGCACCAGAGAACTGGTCCTGACCCACACTGGATGCCTCAGTGGGAGAGTTGCCCTGCCTCCTGGGAGAACTGTCCCTGCTCCCTGCCTGGGGGGGGGGCAGTCCTGGTGGAGACCCAGACTGACCAATTCACCTACCACTCAGGTCCACATCCAGGGCTTTGAATTGGCCCAGCCTAACATCTACCCCATCTATGACCTGTAGCAGCATATGAAGGGACTGGTCCTGCACAGCAATACCTGCAGGATCTCTATGATTCAGGGTAACAGCAGGATATCTGAGAGGAGTTTTGGTGTCCAGTATTGATGGTGTAGCAGAAGCCAGTGGCCTTGAACCAGATGAACAACTCATTACAATGGACATTTGCAAGTAAAGCTGTTTGGGCAAAAGGGTAAACTGCATAACATATTGTAGTTCCCAAAATCACTACGACAAATGAATATGTGATGGAGAGGTGGGAAAGACAGAGGAGTGAAGTGGATTTTGGTTTTGTTTTTCTCACTGACATGTCCCATTCATGTTTTAGACAGGGTTTCTCTGTGTAGCCTTGGCTGTCCTGGAACTTGCTCTGTAGGACCAGGCTGGCCTCGAATTCAGAGATTTGCCTGCCTCTGCCTCGAGTGCTGGGATTAAAGGTGTGCACCACCACCACCTGGCTTTTCTAAAATCTATTTATTTATTTATTTATTTATTTATATTTTCTCTGGGGAGTTACAAGGATGGAGGGTGGACATGGAAGGACTGGGAAATGAGTGGGATTGTGGTGCATGATGTGAAATTTCCAAAGAATCAATAAAATTATGTTAATAAAAAAGAAACAACAGCCGGGCGGTGGTGG